TCAGACCACGAATAAGCACCACGGTTCAAGCAGCTCACAGTGAGCAGCGAAAACATGCACGTCTCTGGAAGCAAAAGCATCACAGCCAGAAGAAAAACATTTTCCCTCTGAGCAAATGCACTGATTTATTCCTGCCCTCCTGCTGCTTGGGGGAAATAAAGCAGGATGTTACTTTTGGGGATCCATCATGACAACGTAACAATGGCTGTGAAAAGACCTTGTTAGGCCAGGATGACATGTGGGGCTGCATGAGCAACAGGCATCACTGGGCAACTGCCGAGGCCCTCGAACGTTGGCAGGACCCCGTTGACACTTGCCATGGGGTGCCCTTTCTTCTTGCTTATCCATGCTCTCTAAGCAGCTCTGGGTGGCCAGGGCTAGCTTTCATTTAAAATTCCCACCATGTCCCAGAGCAACATGATGTCAAGGATAGTGTGGGAAAGGATATACTGACTGTTTCTAATACCACAATGCCAGCTAGACACTGGTGCACTCCTGCTCTTGCTACCACCAAAGGACCCTTCTCCACAAAATTGACTACTCATTATGAAGCAAACGCAGGGTCCCAGAACTGTGTTCGCCCCATAATAGTAATGAGGCATTAGAGGAGACTTAACTCTTTTCCTCACCCACCGGCTTTCCTTTGTCTGCTCACCAGCTCTTTTCTTCTCAACCCAGAGACCAAAAATAAGCTTGGCTGGGCCAAAATGGTCTGAAGAGAGGGACTGATGCAGAAAGAACCAGGTGGCAGGGAAAGTGTCCAGCATGCTCCCTCCACTCCCCAATTCTGCCATAACATCCCTCCGCAAACTCTGTCAGATCCATTTGTGTAGCCCTGCCCTGAACAGGAATCACTAATGTTGCCACTTTTCCATAAAGAAGGAGCCTTTAGACCTATGTCACTAGCATGGAAGGTACGCGTGTAGCAGATCGAACATTTTCCAGCTGGGATAGGAAACTGCTGAATTTCTGTTGTCCACACAAGTGGAGGCACAGAGACCTTGGCAACCCATCCTGGTTGTCATAGTGCTCCAGCAGCAAATTCAAAACACATCAACTGTGATATGCACAGGTTTTGACCATGTGACTTTATTATTTATTACATTTATATACCTGTTGTTCATCTAAGGAGCCCAAGAAAGCACACATGATTTTTTCGTATTCTCCATGTTATCTGCACAACAAATCTGCAAAGTAGGTTAGTGCAAGTATCAGCGATGTGCCCAGAGTCACCCAGTGACTAAGTAGGGATGTGCACCTGGATCTTCTGAGTCCCAGTCCAATCCTTGAATTGCTCTGATGCACTGATATGAAGAGGTTCACTCAAAGCTCTGTATGCATTGCAAGAATGTATGGAAGGGTCATGCTATATAGCACTATCCCATGCAGCGGCTTTGCTCTTCCCACCAGCTGTGCATCCCATGAGCATGAGACAAGGCCCTAAGCATGGATGAATGTGTACATGTCTTGCTCATCCTCCTTGTCCTGTAACTTGACTGCTTCCTTTCTCTGGCTCCCTTGGCTTCCTCTTTGCTTCGGCTACTGGCAACGTGTGTTCTCTTGCAGAGGGGAGCAAGTATCTCATGCCTTTTCTTGTACACAAGTTTTAGGTGGTGCTCATTAGCTAACCTGTTGTGTGAGAAAGCCTTTCTTGGACAATGTGCATAAAAGCACTAACAAAGTTGATTTGAACTTCAAAACTGGCTGTCGCCAGCATTTATTCCTTCTAATATGAAATGCTGTGCCACATGCTTCCTCTATATAAGCCATCTCTGCTGGAAGTCACACCAGACTTTCCAACACAATGCACATGGCTGGTGGCAACTGCAACAGTTGAAATGCTCACTGTACAAGATGCTCCACTGATGGGTGCACATTACACATGAGTCTCCTTCAGATTATCTCGCATGTGGAGGGGAGGAAGATTACGTGCACAGGCCCCATCACCTCCACACCTGACTCTCCTGCTTTGGGCAGTCAGTCTGAATAGAGAAACTGACATGTATCTCTGGCATGCATTCATAAGTAACTCCGAAGGGGCCTATTACATCTGGAGGCTGCAGCGTTTGCTGCTTCGAAGCTGTCTGCCATGCAGCCATTCAATATAGCACAGGCCAAGCCCTATGTAGACAGATTTGCAGCAGCGATGGCTGCCGAGACTCCAGCAGTGTTTAACAAAAAAGGGTTTCTACCAGGGTGGCTGGGGAATTCTGGGATCTGTAGGGCTTTTCCTTCTAAACACAGATTTGATTCTACCCTAAGTTACACTGGCATGCTCATGAGATTGCCTTGTTGAGAAAATGAGGAGGTGGTGATTATTTCTACCCATTCCTTTGCCTCCCCCCCCCCCTTCACCTTCCTGAAAACTGGATCAGGACGAAGACTGTTTAAAGGCAAGCTCAGCTGGAGTCACCTCTCTTGCTCTTCCAGAGCGCTTGTCTGGAACTCAGGCCTTTTCATTCATAGAAGTTGACACTTGGGGTCTAACCCAGGGTAACTAGAAAATATGCACAGAAAAATATCTCACTCTTTGATCTACTGAATTAGAGTTGTTTCTCCTGTTTTAATATGTGAGGCATCTGATATGTTTGGCTATCATGGCAAATCTTCATGATACAATTTCTGGGGGCAGAGGGAGAGACAGCCAAATGCTGGATATTTTGTTAACTTCTAATGTGAAAGATTTTAAATGCATTTTAATAGGAAAAAAATCATCCGGAGACAAACAATATTACTGTAATTCATATGTGAATTTGTACAAATACACCATGGCACAGTGACATGGAGATACAGAGAGTGAAATTCCAATATGGGAGGCTTCTGCAACTTGTGACTCCTTTCACAAGCCATGTATTTTGGCTTGTCAATTTCCTGATATTGCCATTCCAAGCAAGGTGCAGAAACAGAAAGTTTATCAAGTTCCCTGGTGGACTGAGTTTGAATTGGTGAGCACACAAGTTGGTGAACACACAAGTTCCACAGTGTGTTCTCACGATGTTCAACTCACATTTAACATGAGAACTCTATAAAGAACAAATGAAATAATTTCAGGGATGTTCCACTTTGAATACATTGGATTTACATTGGATTTACACATAAACTGCTCTATGCACTTGTTATTAACATTGCTTGAGTATTCATCATGTGTTCAATAAAATTCTGGTTTCCATCTTAAGTCTTCAAAAGAAAAGGTTTGTCACACACTTGGTAAGTCAGACTGTGTTTTGCTCAGCAGACTGCATCTGTGCTAATGTTGTTATGTGTAGGCCTGTTATAACTAGTTTGCACAAGACATTGCTCATTGGCAATGTCTTTGATCAGTTTTAATTTGCCCATTTATAGTGAGGATTGAAAAAATACACTCTTCATCAGCAAATGTCACTCCCTTCTTGTCCAGATAATCTCAGTGAAATATGCAAAAAGAATGGGAATAGCAGACAATCCTGATGGGTGCTTCTATGTAGATAAATGTTATCTGAACTAGATCCAATTACACATCCACAGGTAGTAGGATTTGTAAAGATGAATTTGACCTACTTAATAGTTTTCCTCTATACCAAATTCATTCAAAACCTGATGTAAATAATCCCAGCCTATTCAATCAAATACTTTCTCATTTGCCCACATGACTTGAGTGATTAATCCTATAAACTGCATTAAGCAGTCTCCAGAAATGTATTGATAATCTCTTTCCTGTAAACAGTCTGAGCCTCTCTAATATATTTACTGATTATTCTATTTCATTGCTTTGCAAGAATATCTGTGCATATTTCAAAATCTTCATTAAAGAAAGGCTGACAGGATTTGGGTTTAGCTAAATCTTTAACATATTAAGGAATAACTATTATCTGTGCTCTGTGCCAGGTTCTTCAAACTGTAGATATGTTCATTAACTCATGTACTGTGTACTGTAGAGAACTAGATATAGCGTTAAAATGCCTAATCATATTCTACAATAAAATCATCCTTATCTGGGGCTTTTATTATTTTACCCAATTAAAAAATACCCAATAGCCATGTTTATTTTACCCAGTTCTTACAGTTACTGGATGTTGCATTCTTATAATCAAGAACAATTTTTTTCAACATTTTCAAGGGGACAGGGTGGCGCAGTGCGTGAAACTGCTGAGCCGCTGGGCTGACGATCAAAAGGTTGGCAGTTCAAAGCCACACTACAGTGAAAGCTTCCACTACCTTGTCCCTTGCTCTTGCCAACCTAGCAATTTGAAAGTGTGTAATGTGAGCAGATAAATAGGTACCACTTTGGAGGGGAGAAACAGCACAGCACCCCATGAGGCCAGCACTGGTTCATGGCCATTGAAACGGAGAAGAGTGCCACCCCATAGCCATTTTGGTTAGCAGAGTAAAATATGGAAGGGCTCTTTTCCTTCCTTCCTTCCTTCCTTCCTTCCTTCCTTCCTTCCTTCCTATCATAGTCTGCAATAAAATCGTCCCTATCTGGGGCTTTATTATTTTACCAATTTTTAAAAAATACCCCATTTTACCCATTTTTATTTTACCCAATTCTTCCATAGTTACTGGATTTTGAATTTTTTCACATCTGCAGTAGTTATACAAGATAAATTTAATTTGAGAAGTTGTTCTGGAAGGGTGTTTAACTATACATGTATACACATCATCTCCCCCAATCTAAATTCCTCCCAATCTTCTATTTGCCCTGCAGAGAAAGAGATACAAGCACTTGTAAAATACTGTCATCTCTCTTCTATGGGGCAAACAGGTTTAGGTGAGGATTTAAATCAGCACACCACATACAGGCAAGTTGATAAGCAACCATTACGCCAATCCTCCCCCACAAAATAAATAAAATAAAATAAAATAAAATAAAATAAAATGGAAGGCTATACTAATAACAGATCACCCATACTTCAGTTATCATGGCATCAAAATTAAAAAAAAAACCTCAGAGAGAGGAAATACTTCCGTTTCAGTTATGCAGTCTAGGATTATACCTTCAAGAGACAGGAGAACAACTGTTCTTTAAGAATTACTACAGATTTATTTGAAGATATTATGTTAAGAAAGATAAAAGTTTGTGTTATTTCAACAATGAAAAACTTACAAGTAAATGCAGACAGTCTAGTTTACAAACCACTCCATTTGCTTTATGCTGGAAATAAGTTTTTTTACCTTATTTTAATCAAGTATCTAAAAACTCAGTTTTGTAATGAACCAGCTCATACCTGAAAATGCTGCATAAAATTACACATTTTATTAACATTCTGAGGTAAGATCATGGGTTTTTTATTCATTTGCATTATTTAATCTGAAATGCCTTCTTACAAGGTACCTGTTGATGAAGGTAACTTTCTTTTTATCTGCATCAGAATTTTTCCAGTCTGAGTGGTTCAAAATCTTAATAAGTTATACGAGAAAGCATACTCATCCAAAATTACTGACACATTTTCGTCCAGGGAGAGGGGTGCTAATTAAACATGCAATTCTTGCTATCATGTAAAAATGTAAGAATCAAGTCAGAAATTGGTCTTTTGTTAACGATACTGACATGCAACTAAGAAGGCATTTCATCTTTTAATCCACTGAATTCTACTTCATTTCTTTAACAGCACATATCAGTTATATTACAAAATGAAGCCCCCTCAGAAACTCAACATTCATAACTAGGTACTGTAGTGAACAACAAAGGTTCCAAGAAGGAAAAACAAAACATAAAATAAAAAATAAAATAAACAAATCAGCATTACTCAGTCTTTTCCCAATTCATCCTATTTTTTTCCTCCTTGGTGCTTGCCAGTGTTAATTATTTTGGCAAAGTCCATTTCATAAGGTACAATAAAATGCGAAGATATTCTATATACAATCTTCCTATTTAAAGAGACAATTGTGAATTGTTTTCACATTCTTACAAAGTTCAGTGTATGAAGACTGCAACATATGCTGAAGTAGACAAATTGCTGTTTTACCCAGCATTTTGCATGAATGTTGCAGAAAATTTTGATGTATGTGCAGAGCACAATTTAAAATGCTCTATATTCTGCAAAATTTGGTTAAAATCCAGTTTTAAAATTTTTTAATATTTATATAGACAAAATACTTTATCTAAATATATAAAGAACAAGATCAAACTAAAATGTACAAATTTGCATGTGTGGGGTGGTTAAAGTTCCCCATCCCAGCAGAAGGCACTGCATGGTTTAAAGTGCGCAAATACCAATGAAAGACATGGTGCAAACAAAATCTGTTTTGTTTTTAAATGTCTGTATTCCTTAACTTTTGAATATACTACATGCTATTGCTGTGAGCTGTATCTTGTGGCTTGCTTTTCCAAAAGCAGATTCTTGTCAGTCCACAGAATTGCAGATCTCTTTTACTTTCTGGTTGAATTCTTCAGGTTGATCAGCATACACATAATGACCTGCACCAAGAATAGCCTATAGATAGGGTAGGGCAGGACAAATGAGGGAAAAAGTAGAGAAAAATATCTGTTTAGATTTCATTTATAGCAAAACAATTTTTATATACTGTTTTGATATACGATATCATATTCTGTTTTGATATACATGCAGTTTTCTAGAATTCCTGTTGTTGCATCAGTCTGGATAAAAACTGAAGTCTGCAGTTCTGAATATGCAATCTGTGCTTGGGGGTTGTAAAGTTGTTAGAACCTGGTGTATGTTAGTTGTGGAAAGGTTAAACAATCCTCACATCGCTCACTGTCTATTTTAAGGATATGCAAGCTTGTTAGCCCACACATAACCTGCGGTCATTGACCCAGCAACTCCTGAGCAGGGGCTATTGCTGCAAGTGGACACCTAAGGGTGCATAGGTTATTACCATTCCGTGTTGTCCAAAACCCAGTCAGGATGCTGCAGGTTTCTTATGCCAATCAGATACAAAGTACAGTAAAGAGCAAAACAGCCCTGGACTTTTACTGCCATTATAACACTGAATCAAACATAATGAAGCATTGTCATGCATTGATAGAACTGGTTCTGTGTAGCCAAAATGCTTTCATGTTGCCAAGTCTGCAAGTGGTTGGCCACCCACCTCCTTTTCCATCAACATCTACGGTGCCACACACCAGCCATGGTGTAATGTCTCCAGACCGTACCTATCTGCAAATTCTGTAGTGACAAGTCCACAATGCTGAACTAGTATGTTGGCTGGAGTCAACTACACATCTGCACTGACACAACAAAGATGAATGTTTTTTGCATATACATTCTTCAGGATTGCAACAGTTTGTTTCAACATAATTTTGTCCCCGGTCAAAAGATATACACAAGTTGTGTATGACTGGAATACAAACAGCAAAGTGATTCATTTCCTTGTTTTGCAAATCCTGACTTTAGTTCCCCTTTCCTTTTGTTTCAAGTATTTCAGTCCATTAACCTGTAAACAGGGATCTATTCTTTCTAAAGCAGTCTTTCACAATCTGGTGCCCAGTAGTTGTGCTGGATTGCCATTCCCATCATCCCCACTGAGCATAGCTATTGACCATGGTAATAAGGGTGGTAATACATTAGGAGGATGCCACACTGGGCAAGGCTGGCCTTATGTATATTAGCCATAAATAAATGAAGGCAATGAAATTTTTGGCCAATGGCGAAGACATCTTTTATTGTATTTTTCAATGAGTGCTGTTTGTTCCACATAGCAATAGAAGCTGTAAAAGCAAAATGATGCCTTTACAAATGACAAAGGCAAAAATCTCTTTTTAAATGGAAGTCCAATACATTTGTTACTCTTCAGGTACTGTTTCTTATACATTGTAAGGGTATCCTATGCAAGGAAGTGGTTAGCTCCCTAAATATTGAGGTGTGTTTGCTTTTGTGGCATTCATCCTCAAAACAAACTAGATCATGATCTTGAACCAGCATTTGGCTGAAAATTCATACTTGAGATTTTGTGTATGTACGGAGCTGTTTCAAAGAGTGTTACATGTTGTTATTAGATGTTTTAAAGAGCATCTATATGTGTGCACAGCAAAAGTTTCTGTATGTGGATCATCCCTTCCTCCATGCACAACAGGCTGTTTCAAGGCTTTGTCAGATCCTGAGCATCTGAGTTGTTAACTTGCATGGATTGCTATTGCATATTTCAAACATGTACTAACATTAGTAGAAGGGGGCTCAGTGTAAAAAGCATCTTCTCTTTCATCCACTTAAAGAGAAAAGAAAGATGGATCCACTCACATTGCTGTAGTTACTTCTCTCTGAAAACAGGGCAAATTAAATTCTGAATAAATTTAAATCTATGTTGACAAAAATAAGTTTCACATTTTCACATGAAAGATGGAAATAATGAGTACAAAGTGAGAAAAATGTTTTAAAGCCCTACTTTAAAAAGTTTTTACAATCATCTTGGAAGTGCATCCAAGCTAGGAAAAAGCAAGCCATCACCATTCACCCTATCTGATTTTATCTTCCCAATGCTATCATTCAAAGACATTGCAAACAGCAGCAATTTATAGCAGAAATCAACATAATGACTAGAATGCCCTACTTACTATTGTTTTCACATAGGAATTTGGTCGCAGAGACTGGATGGTGGCCCCAGAATTGCCATCTATACATGATCGTGCTCCATAAATCACGGTGATAGGAATGTCTTGGTGCATGTGAGCGATCCGCTGCAGCATTGGCCTTTTTGCCCATCCATACGGAACTGTCATGTTCTTGAAAGCTGTTTCTCCACTATATGAAAAAAGACGGCAGTTCCTGAACATGGTACACTGGACACTTGTTTACTAAACACAGAATCACTTAACACTGTTGCTCTCCGTATATTTAAAAAAGCTTTCTACTGAAAGTAGAGCTTGAGACTTGAGACTTCTCACTAGGTTGAACGGCTATACAAAAAGACTTCTCCAGAAAAGAACCAGGCAGCAAATGTGTACACAAGAAGCGGGAACCATATAAATGTTGTGTAGCACACAGACTAATGCATAGGTGATGACACACACGCTTCACTCTCCATGTAACAGAAGCAACTTTCTCAAGAACAGGTGCTAAAACTGTGTTTCCATGGAAAAGGAATAGCAAAGTTTCAATCAGTCTGATGCCAGACACGGGCGAGCATGTTGGACTGAGACTCAGGAGACCCAGGTTCTGGTCCCGCTCAGCCATAAAGCTCACTGGGTGCCTTGAGGCCAGTCACTGACTTGCAGCCTAACTTACCTCACAGGGTTGCTCTGAGCATAAAATAGAAAGAAGCAAAGCACTGGGTTCCTTGCAAGAGGGATATAAATGTAATGTAATGTAATATAATGTAATGATGATGATGTTTACTGATCGGAACAATCCCAATAAATTTATGAAGTGCTTACAAGAACCTTTCATTCCAGGATTTCAATTCAAGAGGATGGAAGCTGGGGTGTGGGGGAAGAAGAGAGGATGTCTGTATACACAAGCCTTATTAGCATATTAAATGGATTTTGCAATCCACTTCAGAGTTCTTTAAATTACTGTTTGAAACACCCAAAGCTAACGTGTTATAATTCAGTATAAAATTATGAAGAGCAAGTGTTACATTAAATGTTTGTTTCTGCTGCTGAATGCCATCTTAAAATGAGAAAATCTTATACCTTTCCAGCAGGTGTTTGGCTCTAGATTGTGACTGTCTGACAACAATTGTGAGCAGCCACTGAGCATGGGGTAGCTCATGGGTCTGTGCTATTTAACACAAAAGGTACAGTGAAGACAAGTGCGACCTGCAGGAAATGTTGCTGCTGCTAGGACTATTGTTCAAGGTCCCTACCAACCTGCTCAGGCCTACCTTGCTCTTCCATTCTTAGTGATTCTCATAAATATATTTGGAAAGCTTGGGTTTTATAGATTTATTTTATTTGTATCCTGCTTTTCTTCCAAAAAGGGTGGCTCAAAGCTAGGTCTTCAAAGTCTGCTGATATTTCCCTCCTGTGCATGCAATTTGCCATTTTGGCTAACATAAGATTCACACTGGGAGACTCAATTGACAACAAGCATATAGGATTCTACTAAGTTCTGTTTACCTTGGTGACTGCACATTACAGTGGTAGATATATTCTGTGACTGTATCATCATCAAACATGGAAGAATACTTTCTCTTAAAGTCTGGCCTAATACGCTGCACAAGGCTCAATCCTGTGATAAGTAAAGACACACAAATCAAAATTGCTAATTGTGGCAACCAAACAGTACTTTTAAAATGCCCAGAAATGGTGATGTCTAACTTTTCCAGTGACTACAGAGTTGACTGTTAAGTTATCTGGTTCTATAATTTATCATCAGTCAGTTTAGAAATTTTTCAGAAATGCAGAATAAGTGACAAGTAATGTTGTGTATGACCTCCACACCTCACAGAACCCATCTTGTTTTGGATTTGGCACAACATCAACCCTGAATGCACACAAGCAAACTCTACTGAGTTACTGCCGAGATATCTGAAGCTCAGTTTAAGCAAGTCACTCATAAGTGATGGGTATAACAAAGTGAGAAAGCAATGTAGGCATATATTCAGGGAACATCAGGAGACATTGTGAGTTGAATGCAAATGTTCCCTCCTGTCAGAAAAGGGAACCTTTGAATCAAGGTAGCAATCCACAAATTTTGTTTTGTTCAAGCATAAATTTGTTGCACCCCATTTCTGCATGAGTTTCCATTAAAAATCCATATAAAATGTGCACATATTTTCATGCACATGAAAATTATGTGCATTTTAATGCAATTTCCCAGTACACTTTTATATGCATATTTTCCATGCATTCTTATATGCGATTTCCCCATATATACGTATTTCCTGAAAGCACTTTTCCCTAATGTTCATATTTTAAAGTAATTCCTGAAATGATCAGAGAACTGCTTCAAAAAAATCGGGTAAGTACAAGTACGTATCAGAATTCCAGTTTATATATTAGTTCAGGAGGTGCAGAAAATGTTGGTTCATGTTGAAAGAGGAACCAAATTTTGCCCCACCTCTACATCAACTCCTATGTTCACAGTTACCAGAGAATGCATATTTAGACTAAGAATACTATAAAAACAGGTACTTTTTGACATTGCTGTAATATCAATGAATAATTCCACTTGTTCATCTAATCCAAACCACACATACAGAATATGCACCACTATTCCATAACTGGAATGGAATGGAATGGGCTGGATGAGGGCCAATAAACTGAAGCTCAATCCAGACAAGACGGAGGTCCTGTTGGTGGGTGGCTCGGGCCTCGGGATGGGGGACTTGGGCCTTGCCCTAAATGGGGTTGCACTCCCTCTGAGGGACAGGGTTCGCAGCTTGGGAGTGCTCCTCGACCCTGAGCTGTCTCTAGAAGCTCAGGTGATGGCGGTGGCAAGGAGCGCCTTCCTTCAGCTTCGGCTGATACATCAGCTGCGTCCCTTCCTGGAGAACGACTGCCTGGCGACAGTGACACACGTGCTGGTAACTTCCCGATTATATTTCTGTAACACGCTCTGGAGACTTCAATTGGTGCAGAACAGAGCTGCCAGGTTGCTGACAGGGACTGGGCGTTGTTCTCCTATAACCCCAGTTCTCCGTCAGCTCCACTGGCTCCCGATTGAAGTCCAGGCCCAATTCAAGGTGTTGGTTATGACCTATAAAGCCCTAAACGGCTTGGGACCTGGATATCTAAAGGAATGCTTGCGCCCATATATGCCCTCCCACCCCTTGAGATCAGCAACGGATGCCCTTCTCTGGGAACCCTCTGTGAATGATATTAGGAGGGTGAGTACCCGGAGGAGGGCTTTCTCTGCGGTGGTGCCCCATCTATGGAATGCGCTCCCTAGAAAGGTCCGCCTGGCACCATCATTATTTGTTTTTTGGCGCAAGGCTAAGACCTTTTTATTTAAAACTTATTTTAATTGCTAAATTATTGTATTTATTAGGATTTTAAATTAGCCGAGAATGCACCGGGGGTTTTAAATGGTTGTTTGTTTGTTTGTTGCGATGGGGCGGCATAGAAATGTTTTAAATAAATAAATAACAGAAAGGCAGACATTGCTGAAATGGAATTTGGACTTTTATGACTTGGGGAAATTGCATGTGTGGTTTGTTCATTCATTTCTTTAGTCTGTCTGTCTTTCTTTCTTGTATTCAATGCTTTTTCAGATACTTTCTTTTTATTTAACTCCCAAGTCTCTAATCAACTGGCAAAGTGAATTAGACCTGGGACTTTTGATACAAATATCTTACTTATCTTTTTTGGATGGAAAAGCCTAAGGCCTTTAAAATTTATCAATCTTTTTAGTACATCAATAAAAGGCACATCAGGGCAATGCATTCATTATGACTAATTAGCCAGGTAAGTAGAAAGGTACAAGTTCCCATCATCTCAGTAATTCCAGGTTATGCACTCTTCTACCTTTGAGTCAGAGAATAAGCTTAATACTGTGTTTGCAAGCTTATTTCAATCCATGATTACGTCTAACATTCTAATTGCTAACCTATATAAAGGTGTGTTGCAATCTTTGCCTGATTCTATGTCATTTCTGTGTAGTTATCAGTAATTTATAACAAGAATTTAAAAGATACATGGTCTGACATGTGGAACACTTGAATCATTACCAGTAAAAATACTTATAAAGTCATGTGTCACAATGTTCAAAGTGGTTCTTGTAAATGGTATGGGAGAAAGCAAAGCAGTGGGTACCCATCATCACATGTAGTATACCTGCCCACTCATTAGAAATTCTGGGAAATCTATAATAAATAAAATACAAGAAAACACTGGTCATGGATAGCTATTAGATCCACCACTGTTCTCTTCCTAGCTTATAAGGGCACAATCTTATGTATGGATAGACAGAAGAAAGTCCTAGAACTCCCAGCATTCCGTAGTCACCTTCTAAATGAATAGGACTGCACTCAAAAAGTTTGATTAAGAATCTGTTTGCCACTGCCAAAGTACATATTGTTCTGCACTCAAAATCCACAATAGTACCACCAATATGGCCACCCATTTGGATGGCTTTAAAAGGGAACTGGACTAATTCATGAAGAAGAATTTAATTTATATTAAATTTATATTAATTTATGTATAATTAATTTATATTGTTAATATATATTATTCTATTTTGAAGTATATTTATGGTTGTGAGCCGCCCCGAGGCTTCGGCGAATGGGGCGGCATAGAAGTCTCCAAAATAAAATAAAATAAAATAAAATAAAATAAAATAAAATAAAATAAAAAAGAAGGCTACCAGTGGCTACTAGCCTTGTTTGCTATGTACTACCCCCATTACAGAGGCAGAATACCTCCATACACCAGTCGTTGAACTTGGGCAGGCAGAAGTATAACCATATTGCTTGAGGGATCCTGTGAATAGTTGGTTTGCCACCATGTGTACGGAGTGCTGGACCAGATGGACCTTTGGTCTGATCCAGCATGACATTTCTTATGTTAATTCCCCCTGATTCACACTCACTTAATACATCTGGGATTGCCTAATAACATGCTACCTTAACTGAGCAACTGTGATCCCAGGAATGAAAAAGAAGTAGTTCTTAGAAACCAGGTTACATTTTGGCTTTTATGAAGAGGAAAATGAATTACATGTAAACCAGGATTATATGAACATATTTTTCTTAACTATAATGCAATCATTTCATGACTGTGAATGATCTTGTTATATCTTTTGGAGACAGGAGGAAGGGCAAGCTTACATATGATACAGAACAATGGCTCGCAAAACAATGTTACCTTGATTTTTTATTTTTTTCTATATTCCATTCATTATCTAAGGTCATTTATGACACTGTGCCTGGAAAACTTTTCAATACATTTTAAAAATGGAAAAGGAAAGAAAAAGAGCTTGGGGGAAGAAGATTGATACCATTTAGGCAGCTCTTGCTACCACTACCCTTGCCAAAAGGCACCCAAAGCCTTGTAAATAAATTCTAGCCAGCTAGGGGCTGGCACAAGAGATGCTGACAGCTGCATACCTCCAGCATTTATGTGCCAGGTGCAGAGGAGAGATCAAGACCTCTGCCCTTCCTTCACCAGCTTATTCATTCACTTGCATGGGCTTCCATGTGCCAGTCTACAAGCAATTCCTTCTTGCCTGTAGCCGGTGGGCTAGCACTGACCTAAAGTGAACACAGCTACAGGTTCAAAACTGATGGCCAAAGAAATGCCATTAAAATAAACTATCAGTTAGGACTCACCAAAAGGCCCTGCTAATCTGAGACCAGCCAATGGATTAAATGGACTCAAAATTGCTCCAAGTGCTTTGATCCAAATTGGAATAGGCCTTTCATGTTCGGCACTGGAAGGCCTTTCAGGGAAACCCCATGGTTCCACTAGTATAAGATGTTTTGCTCTGTGGGTATAAAAGTTTAGATTTTTAGTCAACAATAGAGTATTTAAAATGGTGCAAGTTGTATTTTAGAGGCAGGTGTCCTTTTAGAGTACGTTTCTTCTCTAAATACAAAAGAAAGCTCAGCTGGTTGATATTGCTTAATTTCATTTGCAGGTGCTGCTCTCTGTATGGTATAAAAGTTCAGGTTTCAAGAAGGTAGAAGAAATTTGGGATAGTTATTAACACTTATTGAGAAGCCACTTGGTGTTTTAAAACTGAAAATGTTCATAGAGTATATATAGAACGTATAGTCTGATTCATGATTAAAGATAGCTTGCTGTGAAATTATGTAATACATAATCATGTACATTAATCACAGTGAAGAACAAAATAATAGCAATCCCCATGGTGTAAGATTACATCACTGTCCTAGTTTTTGACTAACCACAGTTAATGTTAACCACAGTATCAGTTCACACAAGACAGCAAGCTGTGCTTAATGCTAAGAAGGAGCAAAAGGTTCTGAACTTCTCCTCTTAGCTATGTGAGAGAAGAAAAGCATGTGAGTTTGAGAGGAAGCTTAGGCTCATTCACACAGTACTAAGATATGGTGTCATATTATGTCAAAATGTGGCCACTGTAAAATCACACAGGCCTTTGAGGCCTGCTGGGTTCATCAGCAGAAATTGTATTAGTGGAACTACATTTGGTGATGATGCAGGAATGGACATATTCTGCCATTGCCCTTATCCTTTTGTACACTCTCCCCTCAGCCATATATGTAGCAATGTCTCTTCTAATTCAAAGACTGATATTGTATCCTAGGTCTTGCTAATATATTTTACATGTTTTATCTTGCTTATTTTTATCTTGTTTTTAGTATTAATGTTTAGATATTTTTAACTAGTGGTTTAAAAACATTTTCAAACAAATAAGTAAAAAAATATTTAATTTCAACACAACGTTAAAATAAAAAGATGACTCACAATCTTTTTTCTAAGAACTGTACAACTGTGCAGTATGAGGAGTTGTCATTAGCTAATTTCTGCACTTTCATTATGGCGGCATAGTTATCAAGGGATATCCATTAAAAAGACGTGCCAGAAGTATATTCCAGTACTAAAAGAATACTGGATTCCAGAGATGGTTACAAATGGTATAGGAAACAATTACTTAAGGTGTGTGTTCCATGGCATTTAAGTCTAACATCAATCTTAATTTTTACATCCAAAATAATGTCTCCATCTCTCTTTAGCTTATTTATTCTGCAGCAAAAAGTAAGGCGTTTGCAAGGTGCAGCAATACTGCTTACCACTCTCACCATGGCAAGTCTGGCTCACCATGAGCCTCAAATTTCCTAAGGACCAAGAGCCAAAGGGAAGGATGAACCACACCCCTTTGCTCCAAAGTTCTCAAGTCTGGGCTTTGTTTTGGCCCTGCACCTGCTGAGTCCGAGTGAAAACCATACAAAGCTGCAGTAGAAGCACTGGGCTTGGAGGGCCTGTTAGAGGTAAAACAGAGTAGCCAATCTGCCTCTGCCTTTCCATTTTACACTTGGAGCTGGAGACACATGGGCTTGTTTCTGTGTCCAACATATGCCACCTGTGAGGGCTATTCACACTGGTTTTCTGCAGCCACAAAGAGGATTTTGAAAGACTCTGATTCCATGTTTTACAGTAGCTTGTTTGAAAGTCATACTGATAAGCCATAGTTAACATTAACAGTGCTTTATGGTTTGAAAGACACAAGCTGCAGTTAAGCAGAAATGAACAAAATGGAAAGTAAAGGCTTCCCAAGTACTCCTCATGGCAGCCCTGGAGGATAGCAGAGAGGCAGGGAGAGCACAAGGCTTGTGGCAGCTCATTTTTGTCACACTGAATTAGAGATTAGTGTGATGCCTGAAGGCAGTCCATCAAGCAGATGTACCCACACAAGCATCTCAACAGTGATATCTAGTCTCTGAAGACTAGGTATTTCCAGGGAGACTGCATTATAGCAATAGCATTGCTTTGTCAACTTATCTATAACAATCCCTAATGCTTGGAAGTACTGGATGGAGTTCTAGATCTATGCAAACCCTTCACACACTGCAGTTTTATGCCAGTCCAAAGATTCCCCCTCAAGCGCACCATTCCACACCACCCATGGCATACCACCCAGCATATGCCACTACTTCCCATATGCTCTGCAGGCATTTTGGATCACAACTTCCCTCAGTCATAGACCGCATACCCAATAGGCAGAATAAATTTAATTTAATTTAAAGTATGTATATGCCGTCAAATGGTAAAGTCTCTGGACGGCTTACAAAAAACCAAAAAAACAAAGCAACCATATACAACAAAAAGCACACTGCAAATTGTGGGACCTGTAGTCCAAAACAACTGGGTTGCATAGCTATATCTTAGTAATTCTAGTCTGAAGTCCTGCTGAAGCCCAGCTCACTATCTGAACATGTAACATGGAAGAGAATAAGCTGTGGGTGTCAAGATGCCTTGCACTTATCTCCTCTCAGAAACATTTTTAGAAAATAGCCACTGCCACTGCATGCTGGTAACATGGCTCATGGGTGCATAGGAGCAGGGGAAACAGATATTCAGGCCACATTGCAGCTAGGCAGGTATTTATGCCTTCAGAAAACAAGCCATCCTGTACACTGCTCCCATGTCTCCAGAGGGCAAGCCATCATACATTCAAAATCAAAGGCACGCTGGCAAGTTATGAACCAGAAAACATCAAACAAGTTGTTGTATGTAAGTGTCATTACAAGGGAGCATATAATGCAAATGGAGTATGGGTTTAAGGCTATGAAACTAATTTTTCAATAATTTTCTATTTGAGGCTAATTACAGAGTTGTAGCTAACTAAATTGCACTGTACCACACACATACTGTATAATATTATTCTATCAACCCTATAATCAAACCTCTAATGATGCAGTGCATATTCTGTTTGTCTCTTATTTTCAGATACCTTGATGGGTATTTCAGTGAGTAAGCAGCTGCCAGGTATCCACCCAGGTTGTGCCCAAGTAAAATCATTCTGTCCAATCCCATTTTCCGTCTCCATTCTTCAATACATTCTACAAACTGATTTTCTGCTATTTCTGCATCAGTGTCAAAGTATGGTCTACTACTGCGGCCAAATCCCAAGAGATCAAATGCATATACAGTCCTATTTTCACAAAGTTCTTCGAAGTTCAGAGCCCAAAGTCCAACACCACCTCCAAACCCATGGAGAAGAACAAGTGGAGTTTTCTGTGAAAAATTCTGAGAGAACGTTAGCGTCCATATTTTATTTCCATTGGATATGAAGACATATTGTTTGCTATATGTACTTGTGATACCTGAAAAAAGAGAAACATAAACTTTATCTGATTATTCAAATAATTATACTGAAGCAGTCCTACAGAGAGAGACAGACAGACAGAGAGAGAACGTTCAACTTACTAGAGCAAGTATAGAAAGTCACTCCCCTGACTCCCAGTATGGCTCCTTTGGGCACAACCAGAAAGGCAGGACCTGCCAGGCTTACAATATGGGGCTTGGGCACTCGCATTACTTCCCACTCTAAGTACTATAGTTCCTTATATTTCACCTTTCCTTATACCCTAGCCTTCCCCAACCTTGTGCCTTCCAGACATGTTTGGACTGCAACAGCCAGAATTCCCAGTCAAGAATGTCCACCAAATGTATTAATTTTTTGAAGAAAAAAAAACACAAAACTCTGATAATGAAGAAGGCAGACAACAATCAAAAAGTGACAATGTGCAATTTTTTCCAGGACCAACAAGATAAAAACTTGTACCTGATCAAGGACTTAACATAGCTTTTGCAAGAGAGGTGCAGCATAAAGAGACCAAGGCTACACTGGCTGTGTGGTCCACTCTGTATCCTCAGGCTCAGATAAACATTCATTTATTTACATTATTTCTCAGCAGCAGATCACACAAGAACTGTCAGTCTGGATGTGCCCTTAAGTTTTGTACCTTAGCTTAGTTTATTTCATTTTAGAGATAATTCTTAGGCAATATGAGTTTTATATACCTTTCTCCATCTCCAGCGGAAGTTAACTATGAGTTGTGTATATACTATGTTTATTTGAACATGATGTCTTCCTGACTATCCCACATTCTGTCCTGGGTGATGCTGAAATGCAGTAAAGCACAATTCCCTTGTTATTTTCTCCCTTGGCTCTCCCCATTACTAATTCTAGGGGCATGGTGGGGTGATGGTGAAGACTCATGTCTGCTTAAGGTTCTTACCACAGAGTGCTTACATTTCAATATTTTATCTTCAGCATCTTTAAGATGTACCAGTGATGTAGGACACCATGCAGGTAACCAACTGGACAGCCATCCTGACCTACAATAAGAACATGAATAGAGGAAAGATTTAGAAACTCATTTGGTTTTGCATTCAGTGGCCATCAGTCCACTCAGTGGTCTAGAAAGGCAGTGAATAAACTGGTGATACTCACAACTAGTGCTAGTCACACAAGTTTCGTTTGTATTGCTGCCTCCCACCCCCAGCAATGTTCAGTATAGCCTCATCACTGAGTTTGGGATGCTGCAAAAGTACCTCTTGTGAAGAAATGCCTAAAGTCTGATATTACTATGCATGTTATTTTCACATGAAACTCATTTCAAACTAAAATGAATTTTCTGAAGCAAATTTATTCAAACGTTTTTGAGGTTTCCTGGTGCTAAAGAGCCAAACCCTGGAAGTGCCACACACTGCTAGTACTGTCTCTTCTACCTCTGAAATACTTAGGCTTCTAACAATAGGAGACAGGGAGGTTACTTGTGCAGGAGGAAGAAAGGAGTAGCTCAAGTGAGAGTAGCAGGAGAACTGTCTGCTGAGTAAGCTAGAGCATTAGGTAAAAGGAAGGATTTTCAATCCTTTTTTAGTATTTGCAAACAAATAGAAAAAGGGGGGAAGGCAACTCAAACAGCAAAAGCAAAGGAAAACCATTCAAAATAACTGTTCACATTTTTGTCTATTATTAGCTTGAAGGGTAACCTAAAAAAAGGGAGTCTTCCATGATTGCAAATATTTAATATGTCATGTCAGAGGAAAGACCGACAGTCAATAATGATTCTTTAGCTGACAAGTTATGGAATTTTCAGGTATAAGTGCACATTTTATATATAATATTGTCATTAAATGTATATATTGAAATATACACAATACTCATGTATAAAGTGTATGCCTTTAAAAATATTGATCAATTATCCTTAAAGTAAAGAATGTAAGTCACACAGTTATTAGTTTTCTCACACCTTTGCCCTAACAGGGGCTCAAGACAGTGTACAGAGGGTTCACAGGTGGTCTCCCATTGCTGACCAGGACCTGTAATGGTTGCTACACAGAGTGCCTTGAACCCATGCTTTGGTACCTAAAAATGTCTCAAAGAGTCTTGGCCTTAATGCAATTTTATACAAACAAGCTATATTATTTCTCAATCCTTTCTCCAGTGTCCTTATACACATATACTCTCAAAGTGAAGTTTAACATAGTTTCAGTCATTTTAACAAAGGTTCATTCTAGGTAAACTGAGTATTTCTTTAAGAAATCATAAACACAGACTCTGGAACCCAGCCAATGATTTATTTATTTTCCGTGTGTATGCTCCATGCCAAAGTTGACAAGTGTTTAAAAAGTAAGACCAATGATTTTACAGATTTACTAACATTAGTGCAGCAAGCTCTTCTGGTATCTGCTGCTAAAATCTGTGTGGTAATATCAGGCAACAGTGCCTACTCCTCTAGGGCACTTGCACAAGAAATGCTTAAGTTGCTTTTAGTTTCCACTCTTCATAAGGAGATCACACAGCCGCACATTATGCACAACCAAATACAAAGCTCTCTTGCTTTTAGAAATCTACTTATCCAGTTGCTGTATTAATAGCTACACAAGAAGTGACCATGAACCAATGAGTAAAGAAGTAGACTAGGTGCTGGGTTCTGTTTGAGATTTCCCTGTAAAGCAAAAGCTAAAAAACATTTTTTTACGAGACAAAGAAAGCAACAAGCATTTGGATGCAATTCAGAGCAACCGCATATGTGCAATAGGTGTTCAATTTGCTTCACTGAACAGAGTTTTTGAAAACTCTTGTTAAACACAACTCCATAGTACAGGTAGCCTCTGAGTTACAAACGACTGAGTTACGAACAACCCATACATACAAACTGCCATTCAGTGTATCGATTTAAAAAATTACTGTAGAATATTGTCATCACCATACAAAGAGAGGAAGTGAAAGGGAAGAGAGGGAGGCCTTTGAAGCATGCCTTTCTGCCCCCACCCATCTGGAGAGGGAAATCTCTCTGGCATTTTCGTGCTGCAAAGAGGAGGTGCTGGTGAGTTTGGGGGACTGCTAGAGATAGTCTCAGGGGTCCTGCACCCATAACCCTCACAAATGTTGACGGCCGACTATACATGATCTGGCTTGCATACAACTTTGACTTAAAGACAAATTTCCATTTTATCTGGAATGGAACTTATTCGTAATCCAAGGACTGCCTTTATAGGATTGCAGCCCTAGTACCCTAAGTTTAGAAAAAGAGATATCTTAAGATAGAGGTTGTGTAAATTATGACAAGCGTAGAAAGCATGATATACTCTTTCCTAATGCTAGAACACGAGATTTGGAAAATTAAATCAATTAGCAACAGATTCAGGCCAGACAAAAGCCAGTCTTCATCCAATGTATAAATAGTAGAATTTGCAGAAAGGGTGATTATTCTAGAAGAGAAATAAGCAGATACATGGAGGGCAGGTTTATTGACTAAATTAGCCACCTTAGCTAAATGGTTCAGACGTGGCAAATCAATGAATGTCAGCTGCTTTCTCACTGTGGGTTTTCCAGAAATTGCTGGCTGGGATGGGGGAAAAGAAGAGATATGATAGGGATATTATCCATCAGGGTTCTTCTTATGGCTTTGAGAGATCAGAAAAGATAATCTGAAAGTTAGCAGAAAAATGTCAGCTCCCAAGCCTCAAAGTGCTCTTGGTGGTAGTTACTACCAAGATTCCCAGCTGCCAAAGAAAGTGCATGTACAGAAGAAATTAAGCAGATTGGAGAATGGCAGAGAGAGGTGGCTGGATAGTTAGGACAAAAGAAGCATGTGGCCTCTTGCTCACTTCATCTTCAGCCTTCTAAAACCTTTGATCCATTGCCCACATTCTTGTTGGAATCAGAAGGCATGGGGATCAGTTATTTGCATTATATCCACTCGATCTATCCCCAAAACAACAGACCTTTCTTTGGCAAAAGCTCTTTATTCTCCAGTGTACTTCCAGTAAGCACAACCAAGAAAGAATGAATCTATGAGCCTGTACAGAGCAGTTCATTGAATCCAATCTAGCAACTACTTCCAAGCATCCTCCTTTTGAGGGCCCATCCTGGGCCTTTCCCTCTGGTATGGCCCTTTTGGAGGTGGGTAAGTCTCTTCTCTGTCCTTTGCCCCTTTAACTGATTGGCCTGTCTCGCCTGACATCACATCATGGGGGTCAAGAGTCATACCAAGCTCAGTTGGCTGTATGAGTTCTTCTCCCATGCCTCCTTCCTGCAACTGTAGATTCTGACTATTCTCAACGTCTTCCTGAACGACTGAGGAGGGATAAGCTACTCTGCTTCTTCCATTTCAACACCTGAGAATTCTGGATCCCAGGGTCCTTTCTCACTGGATAAGTCCAAATCTGCTTGGAACATGCACCAAGAACAAACCACCCCTTCCTTTCCCAATACACTCAACCCAGTGAGTTCCTGGGCTTAAGCATGCTTGTGGTAGTGGGTGGATTCAAAAGGTTCTGCTAGTGGAGCTACAGAACAAACGGTAAAGCAACAAGTCTGTTCCCACCACCAACTAATATTTAGTAGCGTTCACTTATTTGTTATTAAAGTATGTGCACTGAGTAGGTACCTTTATTTTAACAACACTGGACCCTGAATTCCAACATACTCCTGCCATACTCCTCTATCTTTTCCACCTTTTCCACCCAGCAGGCCAGCATTTTATACAGCAAAAATAAGCAGATTCCAGGTGATGGCAATTCTACAATAAAGAAAGTACAGAGGCTTGGGGAGTCTGCAAGGCAGATATGCTGTTTCCCCTAAATGACTGGACTATAGCTGAACAAGGCATCTCTTGAAATATGAAACATTTGCTTATTAAGAGGTGTAGTAATACATAGAGGAGCCAAGTTACGGACAAGAGAAATATTCCAACAACGTAAACAGTGTGTGCAACCTACATAAAATCCAAGAGAAAACATTCCCAATGAAGAAACTGGATCAAGCACAAAGCATCCAGAAACTATTTTTGGAATGAGGAGTTGCCTATGAACACTGCACCTACCATAGCCTAAGCCCAACTTACTTTGACATATCAGGTGAAACACTTTGGGAATAAAACCAAGGAGGGACTTTGGACATTTAGGGAGGGGATGTCAATGGATTTCTAGAAAGGAGAGTCAACAATAAAATCAAGGGTAATAAAACCAAAAATAATATACCAAACTTAGCCTGGTAGGAGACAACGCAAGCATAAATATTTAAATTAAATAACCATACCCCCCCCCCACAATCTCTATCTCATGACAGCAGTTGGCATGCAAACTTCAGTTCTTACCACATTACATTTGTAAGCTGTGTGTGTCAAAATCTTAAGATAACTTGTAAGAAATGCAGGGCAATAAGCAGAGAAATTTCTAAAAGATGCCCAAGAACCAGCAGTACAATGAAGTGATCATGATGGAAGAGAGAAAACAATGTCCACTGCTTTGCATAATTTTTTACCTCCTGTCTTCCAGTTACATATACAAGCACTTGATCTTTTTTATACCAAACATGATGTTTGAGGCCTTATTTTTCATGTTGTCCTTTAAACAAAGATTTGCAATAGTAATTAAATATAATAAATGCGTAAGAATTAAAATGTTTTCTATACAACTTAGGCCTACATATCAGAAATTCAGTCATCATTAAACTATCAATGAAAATATAGATACATTCTGTAAATACTTATATCTTTATTACTACAGATCGTTCTGTTTGCTACTCCTAACAGTTGTATTAGCATACCAAGATTACCTAGATGTTCATAGTCCAGAGAAGTCCAGGTATGTAGGCAAAAGCTCTTTTTCAAGCTTTCCAGCTCCAGAAGTAATCCTTTATGCCTTGTGGTGTGAGGCTTTGGTGGGAACTCTGATATTTAAGGAGACTTGGAGGGAGTGTCAGTGGACTTCTAGAAAGGAGGACCAAAAACCTCACCATGCATATACAGAATACCTTGCATGGCACTTCAGATCATAGCCAAGTCATATTTTTAGCATGAAACATTTAAGGCACAATCCTAGGG